AATTATTTCAGAATATCTGCATTTTATTTTTAATGCATTCTGCACATTTACCTCCGAGTACTTCACAGAATAACCAGAGGACAAATTTACAGAGACTACACTGAAAATAATCACATTTAATCAAATTCCTGTAGAAAAAGCCAAATTCCCTCTCTGCTGCTTTTCCGTCTCATACATGATCAATAAAGTGAATATTTGGAGGCAAAGAAACTGATTTGAACACTTTCAGCTTTGAGGGTTTTTTTTAATGAAGTAACAAAGAACAGCCTACCTAATGAGAATAACGGCTAATACAGCCTCATGTTTGACCATGTGGCTCATCTTACAGTATTCAGATTTGCATATTATTAAATAACAGTTAAACACTCATTAGAGCTCAATTACTCAAATAAAAGAAAAATCAGCAATTATTTTTACAATGCATCACTTCCTTTTTCAGACAAAAAGACTGTTTTTCTCTCATATACGATCAATAAAGTGAATTTATGCAGGACCAAGTCAAGCAATCTGCTTCAAACCCTTTCAGTTCAACAAAATCCAATTAAAAGGAAGAAACTAAATAACTAAACTGTATAACAAAGAGAGTTATTTGAGATTTTAGTGTCCACATTTAATTTTCCTGCTTTTCCTTTGCGTCTCTGAACTTTTAGTTGAACCAAAGATTTCCCCACTGTCCCACGAGCATCACAGCTTTAGAAACTTGTGTTTTCATGTTACAGCAAATCAAAAATATCTCATAACCCGAGTGACTCAACATTTCAGATCCTATTCAGTTTTTTCCCGTGTGAAAACTCATTTTCTTCATGTTAAAACAGAAAATATCTGAATAATGACACAAACGAAAGTTTAAAAATATACCTGACACTCAGGCTCATACAGTTTTTCTACACATGGATTCATATGATGTCACACAGAGTGGACAGAAGCTCCACCCAACTTTGTATCATATCTAAATGTTTGTGTAGTTACACACCTTTCCACTAAAAGTAAAATAAACAACTGATTTTTTGTGGGCCACCCCCCTCTCACCCAGTTTGTACCAATAAATAAATAAATAGATAAACTCAACGCCCATCTGGTGTTTCACCCTTTAAGTATCACTCTGAACTGCAACACATTGTTAACACTTAACAGAGCCGCTTTGTGGCTGGGAGCCCACGCACGGACCCGAGGCTGCTCACAGAGACGTCCACGGCGATAATGTGGGTCAGGTTTTCCACACGAAGCGTCTCATTCACACTGGGATGTGATCGGGCCCGGGAGCGGCAGCCAATCAGCAGCCTGTCACTTTTTCCTTCCATCATGTAAACAAACCGCCCTGCTTCGTTAAACTACCGCAGGATCAAAAGAGCCGCTGCGCTCGCTCCCGCCGCGGTGTTCCCCG